CAAAGTGACACAGAAAAGCAAAGCTAAGATACGGTAAAATGGCAAATAATCGCACGAATTTGTTTATAAATCTAATCGAAAAATAATGTCATCTATTTACTTGTGTGCAATTTTTATCGTCATAATGTAAAGGCAAAGATCAAGTCCGATGCAACGACCGCAACACTATGACCATATGACATTTAGTACGAAAAGTCCAGAAATATTGACGACATTTCTAATCCTTCGCTGAAATGTATGAATCTCTGAATTTTTCTTCAAATTATTTTCTATAAAACAGATCATTTAAAATTACCAGCAATGTTTGAGGATACAGATAAATGTACAATGCGATTGAATGTTCGTTTATCTTTTGTGACCCGTGTCACGTAATACACACACGCGATACACAAGTATTCGAAAAGTACTCCGAGACAATTTATTTTCTCTTGCAGTTGACTTTCGGTGACCTTGAACGACCTTCATAATAGTTCATTGTATTCGCCTCGAAACACTCTATCAGAACGTAAGTAAAAAAACTTACTGTTCCATTTAAGAAAACAGAATTGGCCTTCGTATCTCCTTGACGCCTCCACCTACAGGAAAATTGGTAATACCAGATTATGAGCCCCCCGATACCAAGTAAGTTTGGTCTAATGCATTCTCTCCTATCTTCAAAAACAAGCGAGTTATTCAGGTGACCTGAACTATTTTCAGGTGACCTGTGATATTTTCTATTAAATTTATTTTATATATATTTATATATATTATATATGATTTTTTCATATCTCTCTAATAAACAAATCCTTTACGTCCCTTATTTATTATTAAATCAGCTTTGCAAATCATTCGTTAATCTCCACTGTACACCTTGCATAAAAATTTCATATGGTACACACGAGGTGTCATGCACACCAGAAAATTAAAACAGCTGTCACGGTTAAACTTCATATTATTTCGGGTCCGAAAAATTAGTAAATATTCTTCAGACGTTCTAAAGTAAAGGTGAACAGCGTTTTTCTTAAAAATATCACTGTTATGTAGTAAAAAAAATCCGTAAAGTTCTCGCCTTGTGACTTGTTCAATACTTCGATCGCGGCTCGAGTCCGTCCCGACCTTCTGTCAAAGCCTCGTGCTGCGGACTCTCTCGCGGACCCTCTCTCTCGCACCGTCACCTCTCATTGGCCAGTGTTTTTCGTTAATAACTCGTAAACAAAGCCGCGGATTGCATTTTCGCAAAGGAAAAAGTTACTTCAAATGACCTCAGCTACCCCTCATTTTCGGCTGTTAAAATAATTGTGGGACACCCTGTATATATATATATTTATTTTTTATCTTATAAAACTGTCGTATTTAAACAAAATATGAAGAAAGTCGAACATCTAAAATATAATCACAGTAATTTACACACCTTTCGAATACATTGCAACAGCTAACTTCGTTAATAAGAGGCACTGCTACGGCATATTTCACCGAATGCTACGAAATGATTGCTCACAGTTTCTCTGTACTATCGAACGAACCCGATTAATTGTGAATTTATCCAGACATCATAGCTCTCGAATTTGAATTCTTCCGGTCGGCCGAGCGCGCCGCAAAAACACACAATGTTCAGATAGCAACAGTTCGAAACGCGACGGCCCGATCGATCGGCTTTCGCCCCAAATCCCCGATTTCGAACTCACACCCCGAATTCCTTCGAATCCAGCCTGCGAGCCGACCCATATTCCGACTTATTTTCCAGTCCCGGGTAATTAGCAGTGCCTCGTTCGCGGGAGGGGGATCGATACTGTCGCGGCTCGAGTTTATTTATTCGCGCACGTGATCAGCTGACCCGGTTAAACGGGCCGCGGCGGCAGCGAGCTGCCGAAAAACGAGGATCCGTTTCTAAGAACAGTGAAAAACTCTTATCCCCGATTAATAATGGCCGGCCCCGCGGCGGATCGACGAGCGTGGCTCGCGATAAGTGCCGGCGCAGGTGTCGCCTGTCGATGACATCCGTGATCGGGATCGCGTTACATGCACCTTATCATGGCTGTACACTCGCAGGGGTCGGCGCATAAGCGCGCGAGAGCTGTAGCTAGTAACATGCGCGTTCTAATCTGGATTACTCCGAACTAGTCCGTCTTTGTGCGTGGAAACTGGGCCGGCGAGGGTTGCTGCTCAGCCGAAACCTCTTCTCCGAGCCCCTCCAGCTATCGTCGACGCGTGCCCCTCGGTGTCCACGCACACACGATGCACACCTAATTGCGTCATTTTCGTGTAATCCAGTCCATTGCAGTAGGTTACATGGAACGCTGCTAGGTACACGAGCCTATTTGCCTCGGGCAAGATTGCGCAGGCCTGCACGGATACCAAGATTACTTAATGGTCGGAGCACCGATTCTTGAGCGGTTTTGCGAGCCGGATTTCAACGGGCTCGATGGAGTCTGGAGATCTCTCAACGCCGAGGATACTTTTATTTTGCTTCGTTTTCGGCTTTCCAAAGCGTCGTTTTACACTGGGGACCGTGATTGTTATATTTAGATTTTGTGCAAGATAATACTGTTCGATTTCGAACCGATAATGAACTGAGAATCATTTAACAGTGTTCTCCAAGTTTTTTAATCTTTCGTCCTCGAAGCCATTTTAATTACGAAATAGCTCTTGATACGATTTAGTGCATTTTATGCACTCGAAATTGAGTCTCGTGACTCATACAACAGTTACAATGGTGAAAATTATTTTAGAATGTGACACAATATTTCTAATTGTGACATTTTCTGCAAGCACAGCTTGGCAGGCGTAGTACATTATTTAATGCAATAAACCGAAGTGAAGTGAGAGATTGTTTCGTTCCTTGAAATGTGTAATGAATTGAAAATCATTTAACAGTGTTCTCCAAGTCTTTTAATCCTCCGTCCTCGAAGCCGTTTTAACTCCGAAATAGCTTTTGCAACAACTCAAAGTATTTCCATGTGATACGATTTAGTGCATTTTATGCACCCGAAATATTACGTAGTATATTACATTATAATATATAGTACATTATTTAGGCATAGTACATTATTTAATTAATTTAATTTGCTGTTTTGTAACATTTTCTATGTATTGCCCGACGGTGTAAGAGTGTTTTCAGTGAACTCTTTTCCTGCGTTCGTGTTCCATTTTCGTTTCCATGGTTTATTATCATATATATTATACAGGGTGCCCCATAGTTATGTTAACACCCGGAAAGGAGGGATTCCTGAGGTAATTTAAAGTAACTTTTTCCTTAGAGAAAATGCGATCTGTGGCTTTGTTTACGAGTTATTAACGAAAAACAGTGACCAATGAGAGGCGAGATCAGCTGGCGCAAAGCGGCCGAGCCAACGAGCGGTCGAAGCTCAGTTCCGCTCATTGGCTCGGCCGCCTCTCATTGGTCAGTGTTTTTCGTTAATAACTGGTAAACAAAGCCACAGATCGCATTTTCTCTAAGGAAAAAGCTACTTCAAATGACCTCAGGAACCTATCACTTCCCGCTTGTATAATAATTTTGGGGCAGCCTGTATCCAGTGAATTGTTCGTGATAGAATTAATCGTCCCGCGCTTTTTAGGAATAGTTACATAAAATACTTTTGGATAACATTTTGCTTCTGTTTGTTCGGAATTTGTCGCGATCGGAGCACGGCGTAAGAAAGAGAGGCGGACCCACGTCATCCCCACTCCTGCAATTTAAAGGTTTACTTCTGATACAGTCCGCCAGGTGCTCTAGTGAATTCTCGTACTATCGGCAAGAGTTTCTATTGTGAGTGCCCATGTTCTACAGCAACGCTATCGTAGTAGCACTATACTTATACAAGTGTAACGTAAAAAGGTAACGTATCGATGAGCATCGATGTTTCATTAACGCCTCTCGCGGGAGCTCATGAAAGTAAACTTTTNAGAGGCGAGATCAGCTGGCGCAAAGCGGCCGAGCCAACGAGCGGTCGAAGCTCAGTTCCGCTCATTGGCTCGGCCGCCTCTCATTGGTCAGTGTTTTTCGTTAATAACTGGTAAACAAAGCCACAGATCGCATTTTCTCTAAGGAAAAAGCTACTTCAAATGACCTCAGGAACCTATCACTTCCCGCTTGTATAATAATTTTGGGACAGCCTGTATCCAGTGAATTGTTCGTGATAGAATTAATCGTCCCGCGCTTTTTAGGAATAGTTACATAAAATACTTTTGGATAACATTTTGCTTCTGTTTGTTCGGAATTTGTCGCGATCGGAGCACGGCGTAAGAAAGAGAGGCGGACCCACGTCATCCCCACTCCTGCAATTTAAAGGTTTACTTCTGATACAGTCCGCCAGGTGCTCTAGTGAATTCTCGTACTATCGGCAAGAGTTTCTATTGTGAGTGCCCATGTTCTACAGCAACGCTATCGTAGTAGCACTATACTTATACAAGTGTAACGTAAAAAGGTAACGTATCGATGAGCATCGATGTTTCATTAACGCCTCTCGCGGGAGCTCATGAAAGTAAACTTTTAGCGTCACAGCAAATTTTGCGATGTGATCACCGCTCCTTCTTACACCGTGAGTCGAAGTAATATCGAATATTTTACTGTGTCGAGAAGGAAGAAATGGATGAATTTTTTATCAGAAGAGCGTCCGAAGGTTAAGCGGAAAATTAACGAAGGCGAAAAAGGGCGGCATTTTGTAGAATTACGTTGGATATTGTATTTCACTGGTTTGTTTCCCTTCAAATAATTCTACATTGAATAGTAGACATGACATTATTACAAATGTAACGTAAAAAGGTAACGTATCGACGAGCATCGATGTTTCATTAACAAAGCCGCGGATTGCATTTTCTCTAAGGAGAAAGTTACTTCAAATTACCCCAGGAATCCCTTCTTTCCGGGTGTTAACATAATTATGGGACATCCTGTACATATTATGCGCGACTTTGTGTCATTTTTGACCTGCTTCGCGCGCTTTTCCGATCCACCGCGCCAGCAAACAGTTCGAATCTCGATTAACGCACGAAAAGTGATTACAACATGTACGGAAACTCACCTGTTGTTTTTGCAAGGCGGCCACATCGCCGCATACAGGACCAAGACCGGTGAGTTCAGTGTCCTTTCTGATCACCCATTCGATGAGCTCGCGCAAAGATAGCAGCAAAGCGTTCCAATGTTCGGTATTGCTCTCCAATCGATTTCTAGAAACAAACGAGCGAACAAATTAGCGAGGATTACAAATTCTACGTTCCGTAAATGATGCAGGAAATCAATTTGCTACGTTCGAAACCTGCTTTAAACTTGAAATCTGTTTGAAATGAATGAAAACCGCATGACATGTACGCAAAATGCGAATCGAATAAATGGTTCATAAAATGAAATGCTCTGCCTATGAAACACTATATTAAAGTATCTGAAACGAAACAGGCAATCAAATTAACCAAAGTTACGTACGCAATGTACTTTTGTTGGAACGCGAGCCAATTACGGTGAGATTTTTCAAATAATTAACGCAACGGTGTATCCCAGGGCTGGGAATGATTCGAGTTATTATCCGATATACGAAACTGTGCGGCTCGAACGAACAATCGATACCGTTTTCAAACGCGTGACGGCGCGTTTCCATCCACGGTCACGGGGGTCATCATCCGTTAGACGTGGATTAGAGGCAACGTAGGTGCGAAGGTGGGCTCAGGGGTGGCGAGACTGCCACTGCGACTTATGCATCAGCCGTGAAAACGACGCGGAACGTATTGTCTGGCCGTAAATACTGATAAGGGTTGCGCGCCTCGTCGCCGCGAAGGAATATTTATTCTCCGGAGAAAGTGCAAGAGAGCGAGAAAATGAAAGCGGGGCCGGTGATGAATGGGAAAACGGGACGGAAGATCGCGGGGCCAGGAGAAGGGTGCCGAGCTTCTTGATGGGAAGAGGAGCCGAAAGGCGACATTCGGGTGAACTATGCGAGCAGGGAACGAGAAGGGAATGACAGTAGTCGGCGTAGATCTTGGAGAAGAAGTTTCGAGGAGAAATGGCGCTACAATGTGAAGAGGAAGAGATAATTGCGAAGGAAATAAATGAGAGAGACAGGACGAATCGTCAAAGACTGTCCTGTCCCATGGAATTCATGGAATCGGTGTGTAGCTGCTAGAAAATGAGAAATACTCCGTGCCGCCGGGAAAGGAAACCTTTGTCGCGATCTTTGTTTATGCGAAAAATATGATGATTTTTTTGTAAAAGAGTATTTTGTAATAGAATTTCAGAAATTTGAGCTGTTTAATTGTTAGAAGTACCGAAAGGCCTTGTCGTTTTTATCATGAAATTATGGATAAAAATAATACAAAGAGTAAGTATATTTAATCAATAATATTAATCAACGTCATTTTTTATTTTCTACCTTTGAAGTAGCCTTTGCTATCTCGACATTCTAGAAACGAACTATCACCGCGGAAATTGAAGGATTTGAGTGCAGATACTTTCGAGTAACCTTAATTTTTAGAGAATCAAGGTTATGTCAAGGTTATATATCTTTGTTTATGCGAAAAATATGAAGATTTTTCGTGAACGGAAAAGTGTGACAGTATTTTGTAATAGAATTTCAGAAATTTGAACTGTTTAATTGTTAGAAGTACCGAAAGGCCTTGTCGTTTTTATCATAAAATTATAAATTAAAATAATACAAAAAGTAAGTATATTTAATCAATAATATATTAATATTATTGATTAATTTTAAAATAATATTTGATTAATTTTAAAATAACGTTGATTACAACGTCATTTTCTATTTTCTACCTTCGAAGTAGCCTTTGCTATCTCGACATTCTAGAAACGAACTATCACCGCGGAAATTGAAGGATTTGGGTGCAGACACTTTCGAGTAACTTTAATTTTTAGAGGATCATCCGGTGACACATGGAATGGTCTCTGGATGCTCTCATTGTTCCACTTAACTTAACCTAGTTTCACGTAACTTTTAAACTGTTGGCATTTCTCCGCTAAAAATATAACATTTTTTCCCGGACTATATCTACATAAATCGGTTCATTATGTCACGTGGAATATTCGAGATTTTATCTGGCTCTGATCGTAGCTAGGCCGGCGGAAATTATAAAATATTTTAATTTTCAGATATGATATTTCTAGAGATTTCATGTATTTCTAATTACTGTTCTTGATTGAATTTAAATTGCAAAAGTCTTCCGGTAGGGTAGCTTAATACCTGTAGTTTAGATTAGTATCTCAGATTACATTTTTCTGTTTAGATAACCTTATTTTATGGTTAGCATTTTTGGGATTATGATTTTTCTTTTTTTTTTTCTTGTGTGTTCTCTGTTATTTATTGAATGTTTTCCATTATATTTGCTCCTGTTGTATTTATGGCAAAATAACGTCAGCGTGATAGCTTCGAAAACAAAGCTTTTGGCAAGGTTATGTCAAATTATTTGTTGAACGAAGAAAAACCAAAATTCAAGTAATTCTCCATCTCACGGATAGGCTAGTTTTAGCCTAATCAAGAAGCTAGTGTTATTTGCTCATGCGTTATTTTCACTTAGCAGTAAGTTATTTACAACGTGGCCACTCATTGGCAAATCTAACAATATAACCTAACCTAACAATATATGCATTAGGTTTCCTAAATATTTCTTCTCACAGATCGAGTTCATGGAAACGGAATTATTCTCTAAAATACGTTACAATATTAGTGATTTCACGAGTCATCATATGCTGGCTATTTAAAGGTTAACCCTTTCATGGCCACTGAGAACTATGCTTCTTACCCATTTTTACAACAAATATTTCTACATATTTAATGTTACAATTTAATAAATATTTCTACATATTTAATGTTATAATTTAATAAATATTTCTACATATTTAATGTTACAATTTAATAAATATTTCTACATATTTAATGTTATAATTTAATAAATATTTCTACATATTTTTAGCAAATATTTCTACAGTTGAAATGTGCTGTCATCTTGAAAATTCATATTGTGTTCATGAAAGGATTAAGGAAACGAAGGACAAAGAAAGGGTAGATGGAAGTCAGGAGAGAGAGAGAGGGAGAGAGAGAAGCTAGGAGAAGCTCCAAACGGGGACCTTTAAGGCCTATCAGAGATAATCGAAGACTATTAAGGACTATAGGAGAACTTTCAGAAGTTTCTCTTGTAATACCTGCGGGCTAAACTTTACTAATACGCATGACCATAGGTTGCTACGACCTTGATAGAATGAAGAGATACACCCCTACAGGGTGTCTAAGAACTCTTGTTACACCTGGAAGGGTGATTCCTGAGAAGAATTTTCCTTCTTAGCGAAAATGTTCTCCGCGGCTTCGTTAACGAGTTAATTAAAAATAAAAAAACACGAACCAATCAGAGAATCAGTACTGCGAACGAATTCTGGCATGGCAAATGACGCGTCGCGCTTACTATCGCGCGGAATCGCGTTAGCCGTCCGTGCTCTCTAATTGGTCCATATTTTTCGCCAATAATTCGTTAGCGAAGCGGCGACCAACTTTTTCGCTAAGGAAAAAGTGACTTCAAATCATCTATGGGATCACTGTTTTCCGGGTGCAATGGTACTTCCGGGAATCTTGCATGTGAAATGATTCACAATTTTTAATTTATGGCGTATTCATTAATATCGATATATTCTCATTATGTTCTAAAAGAAACTATTTTAGTATTATTTATATTATTACTATTATTATTAGTAGTTATTATTATTAGTATTATTTATATTTTTTATTACTATTTATATTATTTATTATTATATTTTGTGTTCTGGTATTGACCGAATACTTCGATCAGCCTTTTATTATTGAATATTATTGAATTTGTCTTGAGTTCGATTGAACCTAACATACACGAAGATGCAATAAATTCACCCCAATTGTCCTTCAGCTTGTAAAAAAAGGGACAATTTCGGAAGAGGGGATACGATTGTTTGACACAGTTGCTGCCGATTGTCGACAACTGTAAAAACGAAGCGCAAGACTCGAATAATCGTATCTCCTCTACCGAAATTGTCCATTTTTGTTTACAAGTTAAAGGACAATCGGGAAGAATTTATTGTACTTCATGTGCTGTAACAGCTAAGTAGTGGTTCTAAATTCAATGCGATGAATTTTCATTTGCGTTACACGCATATTGTATAACTGTTACTCATTTTGTTTCGTTTGTTTCGCTTTGAAATCTAATATATATATATATTATTTATTATTATTTATATATTATATATTATATATATTATTTTATTCTTTTTATTATTATTTATATATTATTTATTTATATATTATATATATACGACTGCGAAAGCAAGCGGCAGCAATTCTTATGTTTCTGCTTTCTTGAAATCTATTAACGGTGGACATTAGTTTACCACGACGAGTTTAGCGAGAAATACTATACAGTATTAATTTGTTATTGTAGCATATAGAAATATCAAAATCCATGTGTAGTGTGCCTTTGGTTGATTAAAGTTCATTTAACTGAGCATAAAAGAGTGGGAAAATTCCGGAACATACACACTCAACGAAAGGGAACAAATCGTGAGACAAATCGTAATCAAAGAAGATGTTTGCTGAATTAGCTTAACTATTGTTAGCAGATCAGAAGTTGCTTGGAAGTCAGCGTGTGATAAATTGTTAAAGACTGTTTCTACTCTGATCGACTAAAATGTAACAGGCTACGAGAAACAACCGAGAAATGCTTCGCTGTATCCATCGTTTCCACATGAAGGATCGGTTTTCCTCTGCAACTGATATTACAAAATGAATTGAATGACGTACAAATCAACGTTTGTATAAAAAATGAAAAAACGAGACTCGCACCTGCTAAGACTGATAAACACTGTATAAGTGAGTATCGACGAATGATATTATTTTCAGCCGAATCGAAGTCGAATCGTACTTCTTCTAGCGGACTGCTATACGTGAGACGTCGTTCCGAAGAAGATTTGCAACCCCGAGTGCATTTCGTCAATTTCTTTCTTTCCGTCTTAATCTTTTGTCCGTTTCTGTGATAGGAGTGCGGCGAGCTGATCGAAGAAATTTATGGGATCAGAAAAGTTGAGAGCTCGAGAAGTACAAACATCGACGTAACTACGGCAAGATGGAGGAAGGAGTTGACGCGCCGGGGGTTGGACGGGCTAAACAGACAGGTGGAATGGATCAGGGGCGAAAGAAATGGAAGGGATT